CTGCCCTTATGTCTCATAAAACATATCAAATCCTACATTCACTTTTTTAATTGTAATTTTCATCCAAGTTTAAGCATAAATGTAGAAAAAAAAAAAACCTGCAAGATGCTCTTTAAGAGATTTGGGTATGGAGGAAAATAGAGAGGGTTGTGTTTTCTGACACTTGGTGAGTTCCCTGGAACACCTGGGACACATATTCATGTATAAAAGACGTACAAAAGTGCATTTTGCATGATAGGTCACCTTTAAGAAACCGGCTCGAGATACACTTTTTGTTATATTCCATGAAATGCTCTTTCATGCCCGGCTAAAATAACTGGATGGCCTACCTGCCTGTCAGCCTTCCATCTGTGCACAAACTTATCTCGTGCCCTCATTGGTCATGTGAGCGTTCGTGTGTGTTGGAGGAGGGGCTCTGTAAGGAAGTGGCACATTTTTTCCGGCTGTGTATTTTCAAATTCTAGCGCACTCAAGCTGGTTTCTCCAAAATTAATTACCTACCCACCTTTAAGGTTATACATTTTAGGTACTGTTGGGGAAATATTTTCCTAGGCCCATACCTTTGACCCAGTTTATCAGTTATTACTGCCCTTCCTGAGCACAGCTGCCCTCTCAGTGCTGATGTTGATTATTATCTCAGAACTAGCTCAATACCTGGGTGTGGGTAGAGATCTTCAGAATTGGTTTGGCAGCAGCGCCTGTGTCACATCGTGGCTCAACACATGTCTTGTGAATTCTCCGGCAGAAGCTCCAAATAAACCATCAGTGTTTTCCATCAAAGTTCCTGCTCTCTCTGTGTCTCTCTGAGTCTCCATTGCTTCAGAAGTTTCCATCACAGGTACTTCAAAGAATATTATTAGATTATTAATTCATAGTCAAAAATGTATTGTGTCTTTTTTTTTACTGAAGCAACCGTACATGTGGTATACATCAATTGGTGGCATATCAAAATGCTTATTTCTAGAACTCATAGTGTAGCTATTTGCTATTCTGAGAAATGTCCAGATGAATTTGTACAACTCGGAGCTACAATAGCTTTTCATAAGGGTGTGTTGTTATTTTCTGTACCTCTGTTTGATTGAGGCTGCATTAGATTAGATATGTGTCGGTAAACAACACATTTAAATAGTATCACGTTAAAAAGTTGATACAACAAATGTGTTAGCTTATTTACACTATTTATCATATAATCCATGGTTAATATAAACAGTATAATTAAAGAACCTGAAAGATAAGCGGAAAAAAAACTATTTGAAATAATTATAGGATTTGTATTCATTGTTAATATCTTTTTTGAAAAGAGTGAAGGTTTGTTTGCTTTCTAAACGACAACTTTCCCTCTTACACAACACGTACCGTTTTGCACGAACTAAGAATCATGTAAGCCTCTGAAGCGCATGAACACGCCATAAAACATTCTTGAACACAAATGTTGACACTTGAGTCACCTTTCAGCAGAATAAATCATACATTTAATCCACCGGTACGAACGCAAAGATAAAAAGCTCATGAACAAATATTAACAGTAAATGCTGTGCGAGTGCCAGATGGTGATGCATGAGCAAACTATGGCAGCTATGAGCCTGTTAGCTCCACTAACAACGAGTGCCTGAGAAGTTACTCACCACTAATTGTTCATTGCCATAAAGCATAAGAAGCTGCCTTAAGGAAAGGGTGAGGTCCTCTGAATGTCCATCACACCTGTCAAAGCTGAAGTGAAGACACTACACAAACAAACACATTATTACAGTCATTTTAATGCAATGTTACCAGTATTTACATGGTCTCTTAAAACAACAAATGTTTAAAAGTGGTTAAGGCCCGGACCAAATACATGCAATAAAAGCACTAAATTCAAATTAAATATGCATCTTAAATATTGCATGTTTATTTATTACTGTTTGAAGCGTTTAACACTTGAACTCTATCATATGTTGTACTGCCTGAAGGGTGTCTGAACTTCTTTGGGGAAACTAAGATATGTAAACAAGGTAACACCTATTTTAATTATTTTATTTCAAAGCCAGCCTATCATAGTAATTATATTAAAGCTGTAGCTAACAATTGTTTCCTTGATTGTTTATGAGAATATCTTAATCTTTATTATCTCAAAAAAGAAATAAACGTCCAACACAAATGTTAAGATCCCCTTGTGACATCTTCAAATTGCTTGTTATGACCAAAAAACAACAATCCTTATTAGTTTAGCATTATCAAAATGGTGATGACATTAATCTACTAATGTCATCACCATTATTTAATAGGTAAATTAGGCTCTAAATTCTCACTATGACAATCAATCATATCCACTTTGATGCAGGTGTACAATCTTACAAACACACACACGCACGCACGCACGCACGCACGCACGCACGTACGCGCACGCACACACACACACACACACACACACACACACACACACACACACACACACACACACACACACACACACACACACACACACACACACACACACACACAAATAAAGAAATATT